TTTATGGGTGGATATGAAACCACGATTTTTATTTCAAGAAGAATTTCTTTAACCCATTCGCGACCGCGCGGGATTGCGCAATAGCAGGAGAGTCAGGAGATTTTTCTTCAATAAAATTTGAGTGGATGGAGATTTCCTCTGCCCAGGGCTGGCGTAGATGAATGAGGGTATGAAGATTCTTTTCAGGAAAGAAAACTTTCCAAATTCCATTTGAAACCCTGCAGCCACCGGTAATACCATTGTCCCGAGTGAGATCTTTGTCAGCCACCGGTGGCTGCCATTGTCACGAATGGGTTAAAAAGGGAAAGTTGCGGGGCTTTCCGCATTTGCAGGAGAGGCAACGTTCTCAAATAATCATTATGAGTTAGAAAGTCATGACTGGTAAGTGATTTTCTGACTCCTCAATAATTATTTAGTGTTGAATTCATTGAAATAGTGATAAATTCACTTTTGTGTGTAGCATTGCGGTACTCCGACGTTGATGCTCATCACGTGATTGAGTACGGTGAAATCTTCTGGATGTACAAATTCGCTCATACAGCAGCCGACCATTTGCACCTAAAGTGGCAGCAAACTGTATTTTATGCACTCGCTCTTTCTCTTTCTCAATTCAGGCGCTCGCAAACAATACAGGGAACATGCAAATGGAGTCGCTCTGGGGCGCCAATATTCAAAGCTGACTGAATTTAATTCGGTCAGCACTTTGGCTTGCTGAACGCATATACATATACCTGCGAAAAGCCGAGATGTGTCGACACAGATTCCGTGATATACAGTATATGATATCGATCATCCAAAATGAAACAGAAGCCGTCCAACGCCTGAATCATGACCGCTAATTCCTAAGCACAGTCTTGATCAACGCAGTTCTACCTGGAGAATCAGTGAAGTGGTCTCTATAGCGTCTTTCGAGAAGAGAACTTGTCGATCAAAGTAATTCCGTATGGCTAAGTAAGTGGAGGCGACACGAAGAACGGAGGTTCGATCCTAGAAAAGTTCCTTGAAGGTGCGGCTTCTAGAACATGTTTCAGCAGAAAGAGCGCACTTGCTGTTCCAGAATGGCTTTACTGACGGGAAGGGCCTGTTTGAGGTTGTCGATCTCTCTAAAGATCACCTGTCTCTGATCCATCATACTGCTTTAACTACCTGAAAGATTTGAATAGAAAGTGAAATAAAACTTCTGGAAAAAAAGAAAATAGGAAAAAAATGATCTGGAGGAAACTAATCAATTCGTATGTAAGACAAAAGCGTTTCTTGGGAGATGGTGAGGTTGTCATTGTATGCAGAGACTGTAGAATAATTCGTCGAAGGTGAACGACGAGCATAAATTATGCCGTTAGCAAAGAATGCTAAATGGAAGGCAGGCAACAGCCCCGTTCCGACGATGCCTTGGCTCCGTTCGCTTCTCCATTCCCAACACATTCGGGTCTTTTTGGGGAGACCATATCGCTTGGAAATGCTTGCAGAGGTGAATTGAAGATGGAGCTGAGGAAATCTGGTGGACCTTCGCTCGCTAAAGCAGAGCATCAAACTCGCTATTTTTGTGACGTTGATAGAATTTGTGATGGGTAGAATTCGAGAAAGTTATCATTTTTACCAGCATAAGCGCTCCGCTGTCACCGTGCCTATCCGATATTTACAGGGAGTTTTGGGGAGGACAGAAGAAGAGTCTCCTTCCACTTCTGAACTGAGAACATTACTAAACTCAATCCTGATGCTTCTATCAAATAGCTGAAGAGCACGTCGGAACCTGTTGAACAGTTCTATAAGAGCCGAATGAGCGGGCG